TCTTTGTCACTCATATCAATTGGGGTAGCAAGATGAAAGACCCCAATGCAACCTGCAATGGCAGGAGCAAAACTATTCGGGTCGTCTAGATCAGCATGGTATATTTGAAGTTTTTCTGATGCTCCGGGTAGATTTGTCAAGAATCCATAGTCCCTTCTCATCTCTGTGCCGTATTAAAATGTGAACAAATTTAGATGAGGAAAGACGAGTTACACAATTGATCTATTTGGAAATTAAAATGTAAACAAGTTTACATACAGAAAACTAGTTAGAAAAGTATTGCACAAGCTTATACCTCTTAAAATATAATCAATAACGATTTAGTTATTGGTGGTTTGTTTTATAAATTCTTACTTGTTCAATGAAAACTTCATTTGTGGTTGGATCTACTTCTTACAATCCTTAATGAATTCCAAAAACTTAAAAGCAGAAAGAAGAAACAAAATTATTAACACCGAGTCTTCTATGGCAAGGGAATAATACAGTAACCAATCCACTTGAACTTCGCGGCAGCTTAATATGGATCTAAAGAGCCAAAGGCACTGCGCTGAAATAGCAGTCAAGTGATCAACTCTCATAGTAATATCATCAAACACCTAGCATGCAACCTCAAAAGAAGTAAAAAAAAGTGAAATCCAGTAAAGAATTCATATAACATTCAAATGACTCAAGTACAGAATTGGAAGGAGAGTATCCTTTACAATCCAAGAAGCTGATCTGGAAGTCAACCAGGCAAAGGCAAGAAATCAAAACAGAGACCAAAAATGGAAAGGAGAAAGGGGTCTTGCTTTACCTGGGTCGGCTCTAACAGTGGTGGTTACAGAGTAGCCATTCTCGAGAAGGCTCTTGATCAGCCATGACGCTATAAATCCAGTGCCTCCTGTTACACACACCTTCCCCTTTGCCCCATTTTCCATTTCTCTCGATTTCTGCCCTTTCCAGAAACGATTTGTAAAGATTGCAATCCCACGCAATTGTTTATATCAGGAAATAAATTATACCCATTTCACGTGTTCATCACACTTTTTAGAAATATTGGGATTTTACCCAACTTTCTATCATAATGGAGAATTTCTCATTCTCGCTTCTACCAATAAAAAGAGAGATATAATCGTTGACTTGCAAGTTATTATCAACAATAACGACCAATCTTTAACCTTTTAGTCGAAACTTCTGACTTAAAGACCATATAGTTTAAATAATTCTTAATTTTGATTATTGTACTAATATAATTTTATTATATTTATTTATTTAAAAATAATTATTAAAATTATTCACGTAAAGCATATTATTCTTAATACATCTATTAATAAATGAAAACGAAAATTAAATTAATTTAATAATTTAACTAAATAATAACAATTATTTTTTAATTTTTATAATATTTATTAATAAATTAAACTTAATCTTAAATTAGATTAATAATTTGACGTAATAAAAATAAATTAGCTATTAACAATTAATTTTCTAAAGTTAACTGATATAAAATAAGATTACTATTTGTTGGTATGAAATTATTATAGATATATTTATATAAAAAGATTTTGAATTAAAAAAAAAAAAAAACCGATTAAAAATACATATTCGAACTTTCAAGAATATACGTGGAGCTCTCGCGAAGTTAGCCGTGGTATATAAAGTAAAAAGCCCGCAAGATCCTCCACGGCCACTTGCGAAGAACCTCGGCTTTTCTGGTTTCTTCTTTACATTTCCACCTGTTCTCGGCTTCCTCAATCCCTCAAGAATTAACAGGTAATTCTAATTTTCTCGTTCTTCATTTTTCCTAGCAGACCTTAGAAATGGAACAAATCGTTCAATGTTTCTTGTTTTGGTTTATTGCTGACTTAATTTGGCTGATGATGGAGATTACTACTAGTTCATCTTTTTCTCGAATTTCAAATTTATGTTGTGTTATTGGGATCGGAGTCTCGAAATTACTATTTATTGCTGGAATCATCAAGAATCTGAACGGTATGGAAATGTGATGCACGGATGCTGTGCCTTTTTCCATTTGAATGAGGTTTTGAGTTGATTATTAGCTCTTGGCTTCTTCCCTGTTGCTGTTATTGTTTTTAAGTTTAATAAAATCAGAGAGATTGGTGTATTTCATTCGTATCTTTTTTCATCTTACTCCACTGTGTTATTCGCATGCTTGTTCATAATGCTAGATCCTACATGGATGGCCACTAAATTTTGCCTCTGTGGACTGTTTTCTTTGTTGTAGCTTCTCTAAATTTCTATTTTTCCATAGAAATTAGCAGATATAATATGCAGCAAAGGGGAGGAGCAGAAGGGAAGGATTCGCTTTTCTCAAGCGACTTCATGGGTGGTTTCCCTGGATTTGGTATATTTGGATCCCACAGAAGTATGATGTCTAACCTTTTTGGGGAGAGGGATCCATTTGATGATCCTTTCTTTACTCGCCCTTTTAATAGCATGCTTGAGCCGAGTGTATCCAACCCCCATGCTGCTGCATATGATAAGGGGAAGAAAGATGGGGCACAGGGACTTGTGATTCAAGAAATCTCATCTGATGAGGAGAGGGAGGTAGATGACGACCTTGTGGACCAGAAACAGGACAAGAATGAGAATAGTTATGGGTCAGACAAGGAGCCATCAGTTGAGCATCCTGATGATCCCAATGATGGTAATTGAGCTGTGATTTTGATGTTCTTTGGTTCCGTGAACTGTGTTATTCAAATTTTACCATGCTTCAATCATTTTATTGTTTGATGTACTAGAGCGCCAAATAATAACTCGTAGAGGTAGTGAAAATAATAGTATTGGAGCTCAGCCAAAGGCTAGTAAATCCAGTATGCATACTTGCAAGGTCACATATGGCGGTGTAGATGGAGCATATTACACTTCTACTAGAACTAGAAGGGTAGATAATGAGGGAGTAAGTCAAATTCTTCTGGAATGACTGTCAACTTTATGGGTAAAGTACTGGGTTTTGATAGCATGTTTTATGAATCAGGTATTGCTTGAAGAGACGAAAGAAGCAGATAAGACAACAGGTCAGGCCACTCATAGGATCTCTAGAGGAATTCATGATAAGGTATAGATTGATAATGGAACTCTGATACTTCAAGGGTTGATAAATTGTTTGACATCACCATGTCTTGTCCTCGGTTATCTTTAATGGTTGCTTGACATTGAATCCATGAAACCTAGACCTACTCTGAAATTGTTTTTCCCTTCAAGTTTTCTTCTTGTTTCATATAAATTTTAAGTGGTTCTATTGTCAGTATTGTGAACCATGTATCTAATACAAATAGCTGTTTGAAATGAAAGACTTTGTTTCTTTTCTGAGAAGGGGACAGTACTCATATCACTCAGATTTCATTTGTGGCGTTATTTGAATGTGTAATTCTAAATGTATGCCCAATAAGTGAAAATTGTTTCTTATTATATTTGTAATCTAATCGTCTCCATTAAGAGCGGCAGGGTTTTATTTTTCCAAATTGCATGTGATTCAGTGTGTACTTGCTTCATTTTCTGTGTATGTCTTTCCCACATTCGTTTGTATCCTCTCTTGCTTGAGATATGATGGTGAATTAGAAAGCTGGGCACTAAAACAATTGCTTTACTTCTGCAGGGTCATTCAGTTACGAGGAAACTGAACCCAGATGGTAAAGTGGACGTACTTCAGACTCTGCACAATCTGAATGAAGGTCTGCTCTGTCTGTTTAACCATAATTAATGATTATCTGGTTTTATTCACGTTAAAGCTATAACACTGTGTCGCAATACTTTTCATACAGAAGAACTTGCTGGTTTTGAAAAAGCATGGAAAGGTAATTTTCAAGGGCATCAAAGTGTTCCAAAAGGTGGATTTCATATGGATCCCAGTGCAGGTAATCTGATTATTTGCTTTTCCAAGAGCATCTTTCTCATCCACTCTAAACCCCATTTTGAACATCATATCCTCCATTCCAATAAGTATACCCAGTAGTTGGGTTTGGTTAGGTTGGTAACCTCTCAATACACAAATAGAGAGAAAAAAATTTCACAGACGACCTGTGCATCCTCAACACCTCTGAGATGAAGTATATATTATACATGTTCTGCTGTTTTTCCCCAAGATATTCTCTGCAAAATATCTTTTTGGCACTTCAGTTTGCTCTTTGGTGTCGGTGTTTAATTTTGATCAACATCGACGATGCAGAATCTAGTGGCAGTAGAAACAGAGAGATGATCAGTCGGGCTTTTCCATCCTTTTCTGAAAGGAAATATGAACATGGTGGTGGTGCAAGGGAGAGCTCTGGTTCTGGTAGAACCAAAAAAGTAATCAGGATCAACATAGAATAGAAGGTGATGGAAGAGATCTTGGCATAGTTGATGGAAGTAGAATCTTCTCTGTTTTGAGGGATGATAGTTTTATGCAAATTCAAACATTTAGTTCATTTACTGTAGTTTAGTTCGTATAGTGTAGTTCCTACTTTAAACATTCAATGATATGATAGTGGTGGTTATACAGTAAAAGGGTGGATTTTCTTATGGGAGTGGTCTAGACTACAGGTATGATACGAAACAGATGAGGGTGCCTGTACAAGTTAACGTAATTAGTGTATTGTACTATTTCTGTTACAAATGGTTTAATGTTTGAAGGTTTTAATTTCCCTTTCGACCTTTTCAACTAATAAAAAAATACTGAGATATTCACTTTTTAAAGTTTTAGAAATATTTAAGTCTGAAATTTTTTAATTTAAAAATGTTATATGAGGTGTAAATAGATTAAAAACTTTTTACGGTATTACTTTATAATTTTTATAGTACTAAAGTATTCTTCTTCAAGTAAAAAATAATTAAATTTGTAGACATTTTTTATTAATTTGGATTATAAGAAAAAAAATTAGAAAACACTATACACAAATAAATTATGTAAATAACGGGTGGAAATTTTTAAATTTTATATAATTTAATTTTGTAAAAAATAATTATTGACGGGCTGGCCCAGAGGCCCAGCCCATAATGCAGTGCAAATTTACCAATCAAAATTATCAAAACCCTAATAGCAGGGATTGTTATGCAGTGTTTCAGCAAAGGAGCCGGCGAAGTTGTAGTTCAACCTTGAGGATCAGAATCCGTTTCTTAACCACGCGCCGTCGCAATGGGTCGTATGCATAGTCGAGGGTTCGTCTTTACTTTCAGCGAACAAAGCTTGCTTTTAAGCTTCATCGGAAAATCTGTTTATACATTCCTAATAACTCTTTTTTACTCTATTTATTTCCATTTTCAGTAAGGGTATTTCAGCTTCGGCACTGCCTTACAAAAGGACGCCGCCAAGTTGGCTGAAGATCTCTTCTCAGGATGTGAGAATTCCTCTCCCAAGTTCTCAACTTTTTTTTTTTTTTTTTTTTTTTTTTTTTTTTTTTTTTTTTTTTTTTTTTTTTTTTTTTTTTTTTTTTTGGATTGGGCTTCGATCGTTCTAATTGATTAGAAATAGAAAACTATGGAATGGAAAATGTGCGGTAAAATGTAGATTTCATCTAATTCTATTGTGTTATGGAGGCTTTCAATCACGAGTTAATATCAAGGTTTTCAATGTTTTTATGATGATTGAGTTTCGTGATCTTTCAGTAATTGAGCAGGAAAATTCCTAGGTTATTATTATTGATCACGAAGGTAGCTCCTGTAATATTGTTTGTGTGATTGGCAAATAATTGAAATTGCAGTCGTTAATATTGGTGGGGGCATGGTGACATGTTTTTTAATGCATCTGAGTGCCAAGTTTGATGGTTATTCTCTTGTATATATAAGAAAACTGATCAATTTCTTCCCTGGAATGCCATTTTAGATGTTAGTCATCCGAAATGAAGGAAGGTTAATTTCTGTACTATCTGTAGAAATTGACGTCTTTTCTTTTGCTATTCAGGTTGCCGAGAATATTTGCAAATTTGCCAAGAAGGGTTTGACACCATCTCAAATTGGTGTTATTCTCCGTGATTCTCACGGGATTGCTCAGGTCAAAAGTGTAACTGGGAGTAAGATTTTGCGCATATTGAAGGCTCATGGTGAGCCCTATCTACCCTTTCTCCACCTATTTTCTTCTCTTTTATACTATAGTTAGAATTATTTTGTGATTTATATGTCCATTTTTTCTTTCTTGGCTCAGGGCTAGCTCCTGAAATACCGGAGGATCTTTACCATCTCATCAAGAAAGCTGTTTCGATCAGAAAGCATTTGGAGAGGAACAGGAAAGACAAGGATTCCAAATTCAGGTTGATTTTGGTGGAGAGCAGGATCCATCGCCTTGCCCGGTATTACAAGAAGACAAAGAAGCTTCCTCCCGTGTGGAAGTAGTAAGTATTCTGAGGCACAGAATAACATGAACTATTTAGTATCTTCACTTTTGCATGAAAAAGTCGCATAGCTTACGTTAAATTCATATTCTCACATGCTGCTGATCTTTAGCTTTTAAACTGTCTAATTCTGGAAAGATACGGTTAAAAGAGAAATTGGGTTAAGATGATAGCTAGCGAACACCTGTTCGGTTTCCTTGTCAAAACAGCACCTGAATTTTTCTTCTTTTTTGTCTTTCTGTATTTTTGTTTTGAGTTCAACAAATGGGGATGGTGGGGATTAATTTAATTTTAGGGGGACGTATAGGTGCGTGGCACCAACTAGATTTATCTCATAAAACATGAAAAAAAACATAGCAATGTAATGTTTCAATACTCGTAGCATGTTGAATTGCCAAACTGCAAAGTGTATGTAGAGAGTTGCATCTAGATTCTAGACTCGAGAATAAATAACGTGGTGTCCATCATTTGCATTATGCTCGTAGCCCACTCCCTTTCTCTCCTAAGGTTCTTAGACCATCTCAAAGCCAGCATTAAGAAGAGAAAACAGTGGTCAATAAGTTATTAACTTTTAGGTTTGTACCTGAAATCTTAAGTGTGTATCTCCGAACTTCTCAAATTCTTACCATTAGGACGAGGACAACTTTGATGGTCTTCGCGAAATGTCGAAGAACGTATACAATTTTGTTGGTTTGTGATCTTTTCTTCAATGCCGAGCTGTCTAATTGAATGTGGATGTCTTTTTTCACAGTGAATCCACCACAGCCAGCACCCTTGTGGCTTAGAAGCAAGCTTTTGGTGATGACTAAGAGAAACCAAGGGGTTATTTTGGCGATTCAACTTTCCATTAAGTACCATGTTTAATATTTTATCAGTACTCACTTCGTCCGTTATCCGTGTTGTACCTCACTTTGGATTCATTATTGCAAATTTGATTTCTGCAATGCTTTTGTGAATGACTTTGCTTGTTGAATGGGTCGTATGGGTGCAAGTTTTAAGTGGTTCAAATTTAGCTCAAATTTTTAATTGAAATTAGTGATCTTGAAATTGATTGATCGAAAAATCTAATCGACCTGAAAGCAGTTCAAAATTTTTCTATTCGACTCCGAAAACATCGAGTTTTTCTTTATGAAACACTATTTGTAATCGAAATAAGATGGTTTTTCTTTATGAATCACTATTTGTAATCGAAATAAGAGTACATTTTTAGTTGAGCCTCTCACTGTTTATTATAGTGTAAGCTGGGACACTTATTTTAAAACAATACTTTCAAGATATGGCCATGCTTTACCAAATGCAACGCTAAAGTTAACAGCAGGCCATCGAGATGGGAGTAGAAGTAAAACCGACCAACGTTACATCAACTACAAGAACAATCTTCGTACCAGCAAATATTGTACTTGAACATGATGCAATCCCAAAGCTGAGTTACAATTCAGAAGGGTAAGTACAAGATGGGCATCATTCCATGAATGAAAGAGTTGCATTACAAACATAAAGAAAATGGGCGGAACTCATCTGAACCACTGCATCAAAATTTTCTGCCCAGCAATTCTGATTCATTAAAGCACCAAATATTCATACCGTCTCTTCCAGATTATATAATAAGCTAAAAGTCGTCGTCATCTTCTTCAGCTATGTGCTTTGCAAGTTCTTGCTCCTGCTGTTGTCTCTCTCTCCTTTTCTCAGCGCTTTCTTTTTCTTTGTGTGAATTTGGCGGAAACCGAAGGGCACGAACTGCTTCATTATGCATATTCAGGCAAAATGCAATTCTCGAGTTGAAAGCCATCTGAGGTTCATTGGTCGAGTAGATATCACCAGTCTCCTTCGATACCATCCATCCATTCGCATGGTCGACAGTTGCATCGATTGCTCCATCTCGGATTGCCTTCGAGACAATACTCTCAGCATCAGCAACAGGATTTGGGGAGTCCAACCTAAGCTTTTTAGCAACATCAGCCAGAGAAATACGCGAATAAGAAATGCTAATGTTGCGAAGGCCAGTCCTAATGACATTATGTCGCAGCCTCACAATCAAGTTGTTGGTTCGATCTGAGCTGAAAGTACTGGAGAACTTCTCAGCAACAGTTCTGAAAAGCTCCAAGTCACCAATTCTCACAGCCTGAAAAAAAAAAAACATTGGTAACTAACATTAAGAAAAAGTATAATAAACTGGAATCACATTGCCATTATCTTGACTTGATCATGAACTTGGGAAAATTCGAAACCAAAATTAACACTTAAGCCAAAGATATCCCCCCTAGGTTTATCCCTCCACCTGTATCTTATCTACCCATTAATGTAATTACCTATACTATCAGCAACTAACATATGGTTCCCACTAACAAGATTCCCTACATTACCACAACATTTCCGCTTCCCTCATCCTCACCTTTTTAAGAAACAAATATTTCATTTTTTTTTAGAGAAAAAAGAAATGATTCCATACAAACTTTGAACTTAATGGAAGAAAATAACTGGAAAGTATCCAAAAATTACATTTGTAAGTTCGAAGTATGGCCTCAGAGCTGTCTCCATGCCTTTCTGCATGAAAACGGTCCTCTCAGGGATTTCTCCTAGCAGCAACCGAACAATGATTGCCCATTTGTTGCATTGCACTCGAAATCCAAGAGCTGCAATGGGTGCTTTCCGAGCAGCTTGTAGAAGAGACTCCTTTGCATCTGTATACTCCAGCTGAATGGTCCTGATCTTGCCAAGGTAAAATAGGTACCTACAGAACTGTAATAACCAATCATTATGAGATATCTAGAATTGTAGCTTATAAATTAAGTTCTAATACTAAAAAAGGCGAGAAAATCTACCTCAGAAAAACATCCCTACAATTTCAAATATGATGCTTAGATTCTTATGAATTCACATACTACACAACTGCTATATTCTAAAACTTCATAAGAACATGGCTAATCATGTCAACTTTAGCAATTTCAACATCGAGTTACCTAAGGGTGCATTTAGTTTGTTATCTGAAAATATTAACTTGAAAATAGGGGATTCAACGAAGAACAAAGTTATATTTTACATTTTCAGTGTTTTCAAATATATGTTTAGTAGAAGATTTGGAAAATAGACCCCAATTTAATCAGCTGTTCAAAATGAGTTTGATAATATATTTATATACTATAGATGTAATTTTTTAAATAATAATAAAGAAAAAAATAGTTGTAGCCACCAAATAACTATTAGGTTGAATATCAACTATTGTTAAATAATGTACGTACATGTTTTATGTTAGAAATGTTGTATAATTATTATTTTACAATATCATATGATTTATAATGTTCTACCTATTTTATTTAACAAAAATGAAATGACTTGATAAAGTTAAATACTACAATATTAAAGGCTTTGTCTTCTTTTCTCTACTTTTCTTTGACTATGCAGTTTAAAATTTCAATTCCAAAATATGGATACCAAAAACATAAAACATAATTTAAATTGCATACAAAACAAGATCTAAACTATTTAAATGATGGCCAAGTTACATCTGCCACAAGCATTTCAACGGAAAACAATGCTACCTAAGAACTGATTAAAAATCTTTTAAGAACCCACAGATACTCATTACCTTAGAATAAAGAAAAGAAAAAGAAAAAGAAAAAAAAAAAAAAGGAACTTAGAACTCGCCTGCTGATTTGAGTGAGCTTCAAATCGGGGTGCCTTGGACCTCAACTTCTCTGCTTGATCATAGAGGTTGTAGTGGAGGTAGTTACGAAGTAGAAGGTTAAGGATGGTTTCCTACATGACATTGTTGTCCATATGTAAGGTACCATAATGAACTCACGGGTGGTATGCACCGAAAAGGTTTGAAGGACTACCTGACCCAATTCATCATGGCGCAAGGTTGCAATGCGATGCAGTGCTAGGAGGTTACTGCCAATCAAAGTTTTCCACGTTAAAAGATTAATATATTCAATTAAACATTCCTCCTCATTTATATACTCCGAATTAAAACCACTAGACTCATACAAAGGCGTAAACTTAACTACCATAACCCTATTACAGTTTTAGATGAAAACTCACCCCCTTATTTCAGCAAGTTCGCCAGTGAGTTCGTAGCTGAGGGAGTAATAGAAGTAGAGCCTGGATGCTAAAACATCGACTGTTCTCCTATTTAGGCTCTTGAGCCGCGCGATGCTTGCTGAGGCGCAAGCCTTAGCCTGGAAATGTTCAGTTAGTGCTCAAGATGACAAGCCAAGAGTTGAGGAAAAATATGAAAAACACTGATTCCTTTGCATAAAACCTCACATCGTCATATTTCTTCTGATCAATAAAAAATATTAGCACAATCAAGTAGCAGAATATCTCTATCTCGGGCAGGGGGTGTTTGACAGGAGCTTGTGTTGCCGTGTCAACGTCCATTTCAAAGTCGTCCTCCTAAGCAATTGTGCAACAATTTGAAGGCTCAGAACACAACTACCATGAACTCAAATTGATCAAGCCCACTCAGAAACCAAAAAAAAAAAAAACTAGCTAACGACCTCAAATTGCATTATGCTGATGAAAATCAAAATTTCCTAATAATTTCTAAGTACCTTTGGGAGAAATGACGATAACCTAGTGTTCACCTCTGACCCTGGGGGGAGAACAAGATTCAGAAATTGAGAAAGGACAGAAGCCTTCAACTTCCGCCTCAAGGCCATGGTCAGACGAATGGCACGAACAATGCGCCGAACCTCCCGGGCATAGGCACCAATCTCAATGAGCGATACAATCTCTTTCAAAACTGATTGAAAGAAGAAATCACTAAGAAATTTAAAAACCAGGCACTCTAAGGATTGAATGAAGCCCTAAAGAACAAACATAAAAAAAATTGAAAGATATCCCAATCCCTAATCCCCAGTAGAGAGTCGCATTCAAATAAACAAAGCGCAAAAGCAAAGATTAAAAAACATAGATAAAATTTTCTTACGCTGAAGAGTTGAGGGGGAAGTTGAAGAGGACGAAGACGAAGACGGCAATGGAGCAGGAAGCTCTTTCATTTCGGCGTCTTGGGTCATCTTCGCAAGTTCTGTATGAAAATCTCACAAACTAGATAAAGTAAAACAACAACAATTTCGGTGGCAAAACAAAAAGGAAGAAACAAATCGATAGTTCAAGTGGATCCGACCTGAAATCGAGAGAAAGAACAAGATCTTCGCTGTGTAAATGGATCAGAGATGAAGAAGCAAGGGTTTCTTGAAATTTCTGCTTCAGCAAGACAAACCCTCAGAGAATGTGAGAAGAGATCAAAGTTCCAAAACGACGTCGCTTTGGCTATTAATCGGTATTTTTGAGTTTTGTGAAAAAAAAGTTTTATTTTATATATATATATATATATATATAATTTTTTTAATGCGACATGAGTCCGATTCTAACCGTGGATAATAAGAAAACCTCTGGTGGCTTCATCGAATACTAAATCAGGCATAGAACCAACACACTATCGTCAGAATACAAGCTTAGTCTTAAGCACTAGAGCTACACAAGCTAACCTCAGAAATGGGGGTAAAAAATTCTCTAATATGCTAACATAGTTTTTTTAAATTTAATCATGTTCCTAATATCATTCATAAATCTTTAAAATTCATTGATAAAAGGATATAATTGTATCTAAATATTGTAATCAATTTACTCCACAAGCCATAACAATGATCATTTATTGAAACTATCTTAACCATGGCGAATCAAATTAAACATAGAAAATTAATGAGTAGAATGGTTTTTTACTGAGTTGTGGGCGTTTATCAATTAAATGAAACCCCTCCAAAAACAGGCATATGCCGGAGAAGAATGCGGCGTGCACACGGTATTCTTTAGTAAAAGGCGAAAGAATAGTTCGCTCTGTGCTGACCGCCCGGCTCCGTGAATCGAAGCAGTTGGCAAAGCGGCTTTTTATATTCCCAAGCGGTGTCCGTTTTTGCAACTTTTCCGATGTGGGAACTAGGCTAATGTTAATGGACCAAGCACTTTTGATGGCCCAAAAGAAAATTCCACTTTGCTATTATACTATATCCTAAAATGTAAATTCATTACGTTATATTATTAACTTAATTGATACAGTTAAAATTTATAACTCGTGACATCTTCCAAGCAAATGACCTAATTGTAATTGGTTGCTATGATGTTTATTATATGTATCAAAATGTGATACGACATTTACTACTCAATCACGTTCAATTTGACCGTACTAATATTTGGGTGAAAATCAATTTTACCTAATTTTAAAATGACACCCTCTCACTCACTCTCAGCAGCTTGTGATATGTTCTTGATTTATGTTGTCAAGATCTCTAACTTTCAGTCCAACACCTTTAGAATTACGACTTATCATTGTACACTAGTTTTGATTGTTCGAGTACCTTTTGAGAACGTCATACTGTTATTTACTACATCAGGTTTTCATCTCATATCATATACTTGAACAATAATGGTAGATTTTCAACACTTCAGCGAGGAACTATAAGTTTGTTTTTCAAATATTAAATCTCTACACTTCATCATATAATAACAAAAGGTGCATCACTCTTAACCAACCCTCAAATGTCATGACCAATTAATCCGACTAATGTTCAACAAAAACACGTTCCCTACTACTAAAAGAACTTCCCAAGAGGAAACGCTTTCGGGAATCTCGACAAAGAGAAAATGACACAGCTGAGAGATGTTGTAGGTGAAAGAGGAGAATGTCTTTAAATTACGAACACTTCATAAGAAGTTTGATAGATTTTTTGGGGGTAATGAAGAAGGGCAAGGTAACAGGCATCACCAATCGATATTGGACGCTGATATCGACAACTTCTACTACCGAAAATCAGATTTACACAAGACTGAACTATCAATCTAAAAGAGGGAGGGGGGAGGGGGGAGGGGGAGAAGAACAAAGATTCTGTAAGATGATATAAATAAGTGATGCTTGTGAAACCTTTATTCACAAGCTCATCATCCCATGCGTTAAAATTATGTGCTTTTTAGAGGACGCGGAGCTGCGCAAGGAAGGCAGCACAAAGATCCAGGAAAAGAAACTGGGGGCCTTGAACCCTCTGTAGATCAAGCAAATACTTCTCTTCGCGTGTTTTGTACAGCTGACAACAAAATCCAACCAAAAACAAATGAGAACGACGCGATGTAATTAGCCCTCGACATTATCTTTTCTATAGATTATCGTGAAATAGCAACAACTCATTCATGAAAAAGCTCAAGAATAAATCAACCTTAGGTAATGTAATGTCAAAGGTCCTAGTTGCTGGGAAGGGATGAAACTGTATATTGAAAAATATGTAATCCTTTTCGAACAAGAGAAAATGGTACATTTCTTACCAATGCCCCAATAGAAAGAAAAATACCTGAACTTCGAACTTAATAACGTTCGGCGATTTTACTACGCCGTCATTTTCAATGATGGTAGACTCGTCCCCGAAGTAATGATTACTATGCACAGGGCTGTTAATCATGCCTTCATGATGGCCTGGAATTCCAGGTAACCACCTACATTTCATATTGTAGTGCCCAATCTTCTTCCACGCCACATTGAGCTCTCGTAGGGCCTTAAGGACTTCGGTCATAATTTCACGGGGATGAGCTCGAGACTGCCAAGTTAGACCAAAGAGTACAATCATAATCCGTACCTTGGGCAACATCAGTTACTAGGTTACTCAGAAAAGCAACTCAGTACCCATGCGCACACATACAACTTATAGGCATCCATAAGAAGAAAATTCAAGCATTAAATATAGATCTTCTGCCAACATGACAGAAATGGCAAGAACGCCTCATTAAAAGTTAGGCACCAAAACAGATTAAAACAAAGAAACGAACCTGTAATCCTAGAGCCCACTTCCTCTCAACGGGAAACTGTGATCTTAGGCCCATTCCTTGATAATCCATATATCCAGGAAGCCGGTGTCCTACAGCAGGACTTGTAGGATCACCAGGGTGCATAGAATTGAATCTGGTTTCCTACCAAACAATAAAAATAAAACAGTATATGTTGGATGCACAAATACTAACATGATAGAAATGGCTAATAGTGAATCTTTTTTAAAGAAGAAAAATGTAGAAAATTTAATACTTAATAAAACAAGTGGAAAAAAAAAAATTCAACTGAAACTACAATATTTAAACAAAATACAGGAGAAATACACCACAAGATGAGGCCAGAAAATTTCCCAAACTTCTTCTCTTTTGCCACTGAATGTGGAAACCTTCAGGAAGATGCATTCTGGAGGGTGGGTGGAATGCTTTTTATAATAGTATAAAAAGGAATTACGTGTTTATCAGACCAGAAAAAGAACATGAATACCATAGTCTCCTGAAACTCAGCTCCAAGATAGCCACTAGAAACACGAAACCGGTTGTCCAGCAACAAATAATAAGCAACAGTAGCCTGACATATATTATCAATAACAACGACCATCAGTAACTAGCAAGGAAGTATTTCAAGTTTCTTAAGAGAATAAGTCTAATTAATAATGCACCTCATTTTGAATCCTGTTACGAAGAGACTCCACCAGCTGATTCCTGTCAAATCCCATTTTTACAACTTCCTGAAGAATGTCTTCATCAATCTGAAAAAATAAAATAAAGTAAAATAATTAAAGGAAAAAGTTTAATTACTTGGACAAGAGAAATAAGCAATTAAGAACCTATATTGCTAAACCAGAAAAGAACTTAATTATCCTATGAAGTAGAATAGATATTGAGTACATTGGATGGTTATATGATTGACTGGTTCTACTCTTTGTTACATACCAAAAGCCTTATTAATGAAGCAAGGCAAATGGCCTACTGATAACTGCCGAGTAATCCTACCAATAATATTTTTATATCTAAAAAATGCATGAGGAATGAACAGTAAAGTATCATTCCTATTTTCTACATTGAAATCTGTTTTAAAAAAAACTATATTACCAAGTTCTACATAAATATATTCTTCTAAATTTTGAATAATGCAAGTTTCAAAACCTTACTTCCAAACAAGCCCTAATTTTAGAAATAAGAAACTCGTAGTAGACAAACCTATGTTCACAAAAAAAAAAAAAAAAAAAAAAAAAAAAAAAAAAAAAAAAAAAAAAAAAAAAAAAAAAAAAAAAAAAAAAAAAAAAAAAAAAAAGTTATCAACTGCAACTTGGGTCGACATATATTTTAATCTTAATTTTAAGTGAGAACTACATAAAAAAAGAAAAGAGGAAATTATATGGTCCAACTATGTTGAGAAGAAAGGCAGAAAACGAAGGAACACATTCAGACCTAGAAGTCTCAAGACTAAGAAAAGAATACAGAATCAAATAACATTTCTAGTAGTCTTTCCCTGTCTATAATCCAAAATAGTGAATTCAGAGGTCTTCGTGTGCAAGCTCTAAAAATGTTCTCATATGTCAGGAAATTTCCTAAAAAAAAATAAAATCTCCTGAGTAACCTAATGAAACGATTCTGCTTCCTAAAAAAATTAATAAATAAATCTATGAACTGTTCGCTTGTCTGCCAATAAAATCATGAAAACAGAGTTGGTATAATAAAAAGTAGTAATCGGTAGGTTTTGAAGCACAAGGTGAATTGAAGAGCAAAAAACCTCTCGAGCTTTACAAAGTGCAGAAAATGCAAAGGTTTGTTTAGGCTTCTATATGATAGAGTATAGTACTATGAATGACAAGAAAATGAATGTTTAAAGAAATTACAAATTTTTTCAAGAAATTGTTTAGAGAATATTTTTTAAGGATCTTTCTTAAATTTTTAGTACTGAACCTTTTTCGCCTGTTGAATTGTATCAGGTGGAGGCACGGCTAAATAGCGTGGAAGATGAGCCTGAAACCATGGGTGCTGGCGAATCTCAGGGATCGTGATGCGCTTCATTGGGTCAACCACCAGCATACTAGGGATCAGTTCTCTAGCACCAGATGATAAATGACTTGGAAGAGTATAGATTCCACCCTAAAGAACAGCAAAATTTTAGTTAAGATTTGGAGTCTTCATCACTTCTGGGACGGTTTGAATTGTAAGGTGTATATATTAAATTAAATAGGTGCAACAGAGACAACTTGGTATCCATAAGGAAGAGTCCAAGCACATGAAATCAGTATCTAAAGTAAATAAATGTTTCTCCAATGCCCCTTGAGGACCCTTAGCTAGGATACTAATAATACTAATAAGTTATGGAAGGAGGTTAATCCTCCTTGAGAAGCTGAAAATAATCAGATCATATATGCAAATACTGACATTATAAAAAATAATAAAAAAATCGCTCCAAAAGAAGTTCAAACTCACCAAGACACTTTATTCCAGCCATAACAAAAATTAAGCTAAACGAAATAAATACAGAAATACCTTTATTTTCTTAAACAGGTTGGGAATGTTTTCATCGTCAAAAGGAAGAGTGCCACATAGAAGGGCATACAAAATGACACCACAACTCCACACATCTACTTCAGGTCCAGCGTATAATTTCCCGGAGATGACCTAATTATATTAAAAAGTTATGATTGTTAAATTGAAACCCAACAACAAAATGGCAACTGCTCCTTCGGAGTTTCTGCACTGCAACAAACATACCTCTGGGGCAGCATAATTGGGACTCCCACAACTTGTCTTCAGAAAGTGACCATCTCGCATTATATTGCTCAAACCAAAATCAGCAATCTTCACATTATATTTTGAGTCTAAAAGCAAGTTCTCCGGCTTGAGATCTCTGTGAACTACCATATTCCTGTGGCAGTACTCCACACCAGAGATTATCTGTTCCATGAAGGTGAATTTCCCACAACATAACTAAGATGGAAGAATAAGACGAATACCAAGTCACAACCAATGATTAAAATTACAATTGCAACATACCTGTTGGAAAAAATTACGGGCTTCATCTTCCTGCAACCTTCCCTTTTCTACAATATAATCAAAGAGCTCCCCAGATTTTACATACTCCATCACAACATAAATGTCTGCTGGAGTCTCTATAACCTCATAGAGCCGTATAATGTGAGGATGCATGAACAACCTCAATATTTTAATCTCTCTTCTCACTGCGCCAATTTCATAGTGAGAAAAAAGTGTAAGCCTTTCCCAGACCCAAACCAACTTCATAAAAAATTACGATTAAAAATTAAAATAATGAAACGTTCATCATGAAAAAGGGTGAATGTAAACAAATTTTTGAAATCCAAGAAGGCCGATTAGCACCTTTTTCTTGTGGTGGTGGGGTTAGATGGAATGGAGGGAACCATCAAAAGAAATTAAAAGTTCTAACTTGTAAGTAGATTGCCGCCCTTCAGAAATTTAAACTAAACTTGTACTTAGAAAACAAACCTTGAAATCAAAATGAAGAAATCATGATTGACAGACTTTTCAAAAGATTCATAAATTTTATGATATTGTTTCAAGATTGAAAGTACATACAATTCAAAAAAGAATCAAACCTTTTTCTTCCATGTCCAAATTTTTTATCTTTCGGCGGTTAAGGATCTTAATAGCAACTTTATGACCAGTTAAAGCATGCTCGGCAATTTTCACTTTCCCAAATGAACCTATGCCAAGGGTCTTTCCAAGTTTATAGTTCGGTAAATTCATATCCATGCCACTACCACCGCGACCAGTTGGTCCATCCATTTGACAGATCTACAAAAATGGTAAAAAATAAGAAATGAGATCAACGTTGAAGAAAAAACATATCTTTCATATGAGATGAGAATATGATATCACCAAGTTGTTCACTAAAGAGATAGAAATGAATGAAATTGGTTATTCCAGGCATCATGAAGAAACATATAAAGGGTTACAAGCATCTTCCAAGGGGGTTAGAAAAAACACTCTCGAAAGAGTGGGTGACAAGAAAACTACACGAATCTACTCAAAATCTCAAGTCGCCAATGATAACTATGATATGGAAGTTTATTGTGCCAAAAAAGATTAAAGTTTTGCTATGGAGTTTAGTCCATAAAAGCTTAAATAATCAAGAAAGGCTACAAAGGAAGCTTAATAATGAGTGTACTTCTCCTTCAGTTTGTCCCTGTTTTTGAAGGGACAGGAGCCTATCAAGCATCTTTTCCTTAGATGCCCTTTCACTTTGAGAGGGTGGGACCTTCTTCTTAGAGCGTTTGGTTTTTGTGTATGCCGTCCAGATATGATTGTGAGGATTGGCTCTTAGAAGCCCTCAACGGCTGAAACCTAAAAGGAAAACATAGAGTTTTGTGGGGTTGTGCTTTGCAAGTGCTTGTTTGGGAGACTTGGAAAGAAAAAACAGGAGAATCTTAGAAAATAAGTCTTATTCTTTAGAAACTTTTTGCACTTTCCTACGAAATACCCATTCGTTATAGTGTCTTAGAAGTATGGAATTCTTGTGTAACAATAGCCTAGCTCAAACCTCTAAAATTGGGAGGTCATACTCCAGTAACTATTGTTTGGGAGGGAGGTTCCTTCCCCTCTTCCCTTAGGCTGTTGGTGTTTATATTTTTTCAATATACATCCGTTTCTTATAAAAAATAAAAAAATAAAAAAATAAAAGAAGAAGAAAGAAAGAAAGAAAGAAGAAGAAGAAAACTTCATTGATAGAAAAAGAAGAACAAAAGAGTGGGTGATAAGAAAACTACACGATAGCCAAATTCCCTCCAAATACTTAGAATGTATGGTATCTCTGACTTCTTCCATAACTCTATAAGTCACTTTAAAAAATTCTATATTTTCTTCCCAATGACCCCTCCCAAAAGCATGTTTCTTTTTTATAAAAAATTGACGGCCAAGAAGATTAGCTCTAGAGCTGCCAAGGCTTTTTGAGGGAAGCGCCAAAGCAATCCAAATTTAGCAAAAGAGAGAATCAGAAAGCTTGGGCATAAGGGCAATGGAGCAAGAAATGATCCAGAATCTCCCCTTGATTCTGACATATGCAGAAAAGACAGATGAGCTTATGTGAGGATATCTCCTTTGAATCCCATTTTCCCATGTTGAGGCCCCCAACTACAAATTCCAACAGAAGAACTCAACATCAACACAAAGGATGATGAGGTTGATTAATCCCCCAATTTCCCTTTCATAAAAAAGGCCTCTGGAAGAAGAGCTTACACTTTCATCCCATCTCATAGGTTACTCATAGCCACGTTTTTAGTTTTTTAAAGCACAAAATTGGGTACAGTCTGGGAGGAAAACGGTCAGAAGTTTATAAGCTGCACAACCATTAAACCTGAAACTAGTGTTTTCCCCATTCTCAGGTAAGCGAATGCAGACGCCTTCTCTTACACTTAACCGAAAAAACTCCCAAGGGGAATTCCTTCTAATTTTGTTATCAGTTGAGGTAAACCACCAGAACTCATTCAAATCCATGTTACTGTAGAGCACCACATGGCCATATAGAATCTCTTTCAAGGGGGATTCTCAAACCTAGCTTTTAAAAGAAAAACCAAAACTCTTCTGACAAACACAATTAAAGCTTTACTGTGGATAGTATAGATGGAAAGGAATAGAATAACTTTTTGATAGTTGGGTAAACCGGGAAAAAAAACATACTGCACCCACTTCGACTGCTTTCCATAATTCCACTTACCACGAACACAATAAGATGAATTCAATTACCATGGAATTTCATACTAATTCATTAAAGTTGATAGAACTACCAAAGCACGACATCAAAAATTCCCAAATTCATCATACATGGCTTTCTGTAATTTTTACTAACTTCAAACATCAAAAAACCCCAAATTCAGCACAAGTTATTAAGGAAAAAATCCATCCAAGCAACCCTCGCAAAATAAGCAGAAATTACCCACACAGATGAAAATTAATAGGAAAATACTTAACGATAACCTCGAGAAAGACTCCTGCGAGATTCAAAGAAGGGCACCGGACAGAGATCGAAACAAAATGGATTACAAACCAGCAAATTGGGACCTGAAAAACTATATAGAGACCTCAAAAATTACAGAAAACAATCAATAGAAGAAATTCAGCGCAGATGAAAAGAGAAAAAACAGAAAATCAAAACAAAGACATACAAGAAGGAGAAAGTGAGTGAGAATCGGCGTTATGAATGTCTGAATACAGAAGAAAAACCCCTTCTACGAGTGATAAAGAAAAAATAGGAGAAGAAAACCTGAAGTGAGGGGGATGGAAAGTGTAAATCTGAGGAAGACAGAGTTGAATGCTGGCTGCGAGCGAAGGGAGAACGCGACGGGGCGTGGCGATGGATGTTGGGACCGATGCGGGAGAGCGCAACGACCGGGGACTGGATTCGAAGAGAGAGAAACTCCTTTTCTTCATTTCTTTCCAAATCCAAATACTATTTACAATTTCATTGTTTTCCTTCTTTTTCATTTTTTTCACACGTTTAAAGTTCTACTCTCCAAGTAATCAACAAAGAATTTCAAGGGTTTTTTTAACGGTTTTTTAATGGACTTGAAATTTTCAAAAATCATACAAATGGTAAACTCGATGTGTAATTCATATTAAAAAATATGAGTTATTTGCGACCCTTACATATGAGTTATTTGTGACCCTTGTTATATATGAGTTATTTGTGACCCTTATATGTAAAGGATCATTAGTGATTAGTTGGCATGATCATTAGTGATTAGTTGGCATGTTATGATTTAGCATTAAACCTAAGTTATAATTACATTTGCGAATCTTTCCTTGAATCAAACGCATAGGAGTTGGATTCAAATACAAATTTATTCAACGATTTTACTAAAAAACAATACAATGGCAATAATAACTAATTAGTCTTGAGAAACATACCTAACCTTAATAAAAAAAATTCACACTAAAAGTAGACTGAAATGAAGTATTTTAACCTTGGCTTGTTGGAATTTCTCATTGAGAACTCCCTCCAAAAATAGGCGTATGCCGGTGAATGGGACGAGTACACGGTATTCTTTAGTAAAAGGCGAAAGAATAGTTCGCTTTGTACTCGACCTCCGGCTGCGTGGCTTGATGATACTTACCGCTCCCCATTTTATACTCCACTAGACTGCTGAAAATTTAGATTTTACCGATGTGGGATGTCGTTTTAATGGGCCGGAGTCTGTAATGGGCCTCTCCAATCATCCATCACTTAACTATCTGATTATTCATCCAAATATAAATAAATTTAAACGCACAATTTTAGTATTTAATTCAAATCTCAACTCTAAAATTAAATATGTAATTCAGTAGTGATTGTATTCTATAAATATTATTCTATTACAAATTATAATACATCATTTTTTTTTTATATATTTTCTTTTATCTAACCATTACATTTTTACGGCCCTGCAAAATGGGTCAAATTATAATAATAAGCTCAACAAAATAATGAACTTTGGGTGCTATAATATTATTGCTTATATATTACAACATCTAAGAAGGGAGACTGTGATGTAACATTTAAGTCTAAGCTTTTTGTGTGTGGAATATTAAGCTGTAATAACAAATTTTGATTTGTTTAAAAACGTTATATTATATTTTTGTTCATATGAATGCAACTAAATAATCCTAAGATGCAAAGTAAAAACAGATCGAAATATTTGAAAAAATAATCAAAATTTAAAACTCGTCTTAAACATATGGATGGATCCTTCTCCATCTTAATTAATAAAATAATTTACAACCATATTTATAATCATACAATTAAAAAAATAAATAAATAAATAAATAAAATTGCTATAACCTTCCATGATCCCAAAGGGTGGGCTCTCACCTCCATGAAGTATGACCCTTCTTTTATTTGTCCTCTTTTTCAGTAGATTCCCTTTTATTGGTACTTTAAAATTTGACATACCATTATTCAGATAAAATATAAATACATTATTCAACCGTCATCCACCAATCCAATCGCACTTCAAGTTCCCAATAGAAAAAGAAACGCATCATATCACAATAACATGAAGGATAGTGAACCTCATTACTTGGAGAACTTAAAGAACAGAAGTTCCAAAAGAAAAAAATGGAAAACAGAGGAATCCTATCCTAGTGTCTACTGTCGTCAAACACACACACAGTGGACCGAAAACTCAGACCTCTTTTATTGCAGCATAAGAGACCATGTCATTGGAACAGACCTCTTGGAAATGGTCTCTACAGATATTCCCGCCTAAATTCAAACAAATGGTAGATTTTGGACTAACCTGTTCTAAATAACTTGTTTAGCAGCAGCGATAACAGCCTCAACCGTGATACCGAACTCTTTGTAAATTTTCCCTGCTGGAGCACTTGCTCCGAAGCGGTCAATGCCGATTGCTTTTCCTTTGCTTCCGACGATCTTCTCCCATCCAAATGTTGTTCCAGCCTCAATACTCACTCTGGCAGAAACAGCAGCAGGCAAAACACTTTCCTTGTATGCCTCTGATTGCTCGTCGAAGAGCTCCCAAGAGACGAAGGAAACGAGTCGAACAGCCTTTCCTTCCTTTCTCAGTTCCTCTGCAGCTTTGGCGGCAATTTCAAGTTCAGAACCAGTTCCAATCAAGATAACATCGGGCTTGTTGCCTGAGGAATTGTCCGAGACAATGTATCCACCCTTTTCAACTCCTTCAATGGAAGTTCCAGGAAGATTAGGCAACTTTTGGCGAGAAAGGGCAAGAATTGAAGGTCTCTTTCGGTTAAGTACTGCAACTTTGTATGCCCCAGCAGTCTCATTACCATCAGCTGGTCGGAGCATCAATATGTTCGGCATAGCCCTGAAGCTTGCCAGATGTTCGATTGGCTGATGGGTCGGCCCATCTTCACCAAGACCGATTGAATCGTGAGTCATGACATAGATTACACCAGCTTGACTCAAGGCGGATATCCTAATGGCAGCTCTCATGTAATCTGTGAAAACAAAGAACGTAGCACAGTAAGGGATGAGTCCAGGACTGTGAAGGGCAATTCCGTTGCAGATGGCTCCCATTCCGTGCTCTCTAACACCAAATCGAAGATTACGCTCTTCAGGAGTGTCCTTTTGGAAGTTTCCGAACGATTTAAGCAGTGTCATGTTTGATGAAGCAAGGTCAGCACTTCCACCAAGGAAACCAGGGAGAACTTTCGCAAGGGCATTAAGGTTTTGCTGGGAAAGATTCCTGGTGGCATCAGCTGGGCTCTCCGGGGTGTACGTCTGCATAACACATCGAAAACACTCAGTCTTTAGGCAATAATAACGTACAATATAGTTTTTCACGAAGAAAAAAGCGAACTCTAACTACATGTCGTAATATGTCAGTTTAACAAGTAATAAACAGTCATGTTCGGGACGGGCTACTCACTGGCAGTGCTTTTTCCCAACCAGCAGCTAGTTCTCCATTAATAATAGACTTCAGTTCAGCAGCTTCCTCTGGGTAGTTCTTCTCATATTCGGCAAACTTAGTGTTCCATTCAGCTTCAAGAGCAGCTCCCTGGGGGATGTGACGGCTCCAGTGCCTATAGGATAAAACAAGGGTAGATCAACAATGAATCACCCTCTTTAAACTAAAAATACCGATAGTTCATTTATCATCTGTATCCATACTTCTTAACATCCTCAGGCACGTGGAAAGGCTCGTACGGCCATTGAAGGTTCTGTCTCGTGGCGTCAACTTCCTTTGCACCTAGTGCGCTACCATGTACGCTGTAGGAATTAGCCTTGTTTGGAGATCCATAACCAATGGTTGTGGTCACCTACAGCATTTTAAACGTAAATTCAGCACACCCAATTTTGAAGAAACTCATCACAACTTGGCAAAGCTAGTTCAGATTCACGTCCGTAAATACTAAGATTAACTTTCCCATAAACTCCCTGATACTAGACTATGATATAACAGCTTAAATTTTACTTTCACATAATTTGAACTACGAGCAATATTACAGAGCTATGCAGGAAAACAAGAGCTCTGTGCATCAAAAGTTCTGAAGGGATTGCAAACCTTGATCAAAGTGGGTTTATCTTTTACAGCTTTCGCTTCCCTAATGGCAGCACGAATCTCGTCGTAGCCATTATTTCCATTTTTCACCCAGATAACATGCCACCCTAGACCCTCAAATCGTTTGTCAACACTCTCAGTGAATGCAATCTCCGTGTCGCCATCAATTGAGATGTGGTTGTCATCATAGAAAGCAATCAGTTTGCCTAGTCCCCAGTGCCCAGCTAGCGAACAAGCTTCATTGGCTATTCCCTCCATTTGGCAACCATCTCCCAGTACAACATATCTGCCAATTGAATAAAATGAGTAAAAAAGAATAATACAGCATCACAGAGTGTTCTTTATAAGGGATCGAAGAAGTTTACTGATTAGCGTCAGATATCATACGTGTAATGGTCAACAATTTCATTATCGGGCTTGTTGAAACGAGCAGCTAAATGCTTCTCAGCAAGTGCCAAACCAACGGCATTTGCAACACCCTGTCCAAGAGGACCTTCACAAAACAAAACAATTAACAATCAAACAAAAGCAACAACAGTGTCCAAACCTTATGTACTTTAACTTCGATACAAGAATCTAACCAGTCGTTACTTCAATTCCGGGTGTCTCGAAGTTCTCAGGGTGTCCAGGAGTTCTGCTTCCCCATTGACGGAAACTCTTTAAGTCTTCTTCCTGATCATTAACAAATCTAAATTCATCAGTCACAGTGGATATAAATTGTCCCTTTACAGAGAAAAATGGATTAGTACACAGTTCAAATCAAATTATATTCTTAAAACCCATACAATATTAATTTTTGTTATGAAATCTAACAAGAAAATTATTAAGTTTAGTTGAGCAGTAAATTTCAGTCCAGAATTTAAACATACGCCTTTAGTACTATGCAACCAGGCTTAACCAACACTAAACCCAACCTCAACCTAACTTGATGGTATAATCTTAACGAAAGAAAAGTCAGGGGTCGATATCTTGGGCCATATAATTCCATAACCAACAAACTTCTAAAAGAAAAAGTAACACGTTTAAATTACACAAATGAGGAAAAGGAAAGATGAGACAAACATTTCAATACCATGACCAAATAGGACGCCATCAATAAGTAGTAAAAATCAGAACAAACCGAGATCCAGTTGAAATCCGAAATCATAGGAGTCGAACAACGCCAAAAAAGAAAAAACAGATCAAACCCAAACAAAGCAACAGAACGAGAGGAGGACAAACTCAGACAAAGCTTACCTTAACACTATCATACCCAGCAAGGTGAAGCAAAGCATAGTGCAGCATACATCCATGGCCGGCCGACAAGACGAACCGATCCCGATTGAACCAGTAAGGGTTCTTGGGATTATACTTCATAACCTCATCGTACAAAACATGGCCCATCGGAGCGCAACCCATCGGCAAGCCCGGATGGCCGGAATTTGCCTTCTCCACAGCATCGATCGAGAGGAAACGGATCGTATTGACGGACTTCTCGATCAACGACGTCTCAGTGGTCTTATTGACCGTCTCAGCAACCGAAGCTCGAACCACTCCACGGAGGGACCGGCATGGCCTGATCCGTCGAGACGATGCGGCGATGGCGGCGGAGTTGGTGGATTTGAGGCCGGAGAAACTGGGAAGAGAGCGAGAGGAAAGAGAAACGCGGTCGGCGGATGGATTTGAATCATGATGAGAGGTGGCTCGGGGCAATAGCGCTTGCGAAAGGGCCGCAGAGGAAGTGGACGCCATATCTGAAGAAGGTTGAAGAATTCGAGACGCAGAGGGTGGTTTTGGTACTGATTTGCTGAGAAATGGCTTCCGGGATTTTAATTTCGACGGAGAATTTTGAACTTTGGTTGTTGAACTTCCTCGTGGATGACGACAGGTGAACGAAGATGAGAGATTCGCCGTTGGATTATTCTATAAACATACAATCTCAGCCGTTGATTGTCAGCTAGAAATCCAGTACATCTCAATTTATTAATTTATTATATATGGAAAAGAGAGAAAAAAAATACAGGAATTTGAAATGAAACTTTCTTTCTATTAATTATACTTTACAAATAAAATGAATGTAAATAGACCAATCA